GCTGCAGGACAAGAAAATATCCAGTGACGATGGTGCTGAGTCGGACTGACACATTTCTCTCATACTCTCCGCAATTTGTTTTAAGTGCTTCTTAGTGGTAGCATCAACACGTCTCCTAAATGTTCTCTTTGATATTTTCTTCGATATTCAAACAAAAAGGGATAGGAAGGGATTATGAAACGGGTCAAGTAGGAACGGCGTAAGAGCAGCAAATGCGTACGCCCAGTAACTGGGCGAGAAGGAAATGGAGGGTCGAGGAGCGCAAGCGAAATCAAACGCCTCGTCCGATCGATTTGCCAATTATCATGCGCACATTCGTTTGCGTCTTTAGCGACACGATAGCTGGGGGGACTTTGAACGAATCAATTCTCAGCAGCGAAGAAATGTCGGGGCTATAATCTAGAATCAGTTTTCCTTGTTTTAAGGAAGTAGGAAATAAATTCCCCGCCCAAAGATTCCAAGAATAGCAGAACTTTTGATTTGGTGCAGTCTAAGTCCAATTACTATAATAATAATAATAATAATAATAATAATAATAATAGTAATAATGATAATACTTTTCATTCAAGACCCGTGGGGGTCATATCGAAACGCAGTTTATTTCCACGCGAAGTTGAGCCTATCCTAACTACCGACCGAAATAGGGAAGATTAGGGGAGTTAGAGATTCACAGACGGGAATATTGACGTACTCTGTTCAAGTTCTTCGACATAAGCTTTGTGAGTAGCTGGAAATGCGTTATGTTTGGGTCGTCGAGTTTGGAGGAGTGGCAGCAATTGTTAAGGAAAATTTTCTTTGGAAAACTGAACTTCTTCGGTATTCAGGTGGTTGAAATTGCATCGAATTCGTCTTTAAAATAAGCACTTGCCTTGGTTCATTAGGGGATACTTGTGGAGCAGGTTGGGAATAAAAGACGCATTGTTGTGTTGGAAGACCTCAAAATCAACATTATTCAAGTCCCCTACGGACGTAGCAGTGTTATGACTTGGTGAAACTGCAAATAACGTTAGATAAGACTTGTTCAACATGAAAACAGGGACCGTCATTTAGGTGTTGATTGTAAACATTTCAAAATTTTCCAATCTTCTCCGCATTGGTGTGCTGGAGGATCAAGTCGTTCGACATTTGATTATAAGTATTTACGTAACTACTAATCTCTTCCTGCCAGTGGTAATCAGAGGCTACAGATTGCGTTTGTCTCGTTGCCAACCGAGCCAAACGCCTGTTCGATGCTTGGACAACTCATTGC